GTTTAAAAAAAAAGAGAAGATAGTAGGAAGGGAAAAATGAAGGGGGGGAAATCGGAGGGGGAGACGAACCATGAGAGACTATGGACTCTGAGAAACAAACTGAGGGTTCTAGAGGGGAGGGGGTGGGGGATGGGTTAGCCCAGTGATGGGTATTAAAGAGGGCACGTTCTGCATGGAGCACTGGGTGTTATGCACAAACAATGAATCATGGAACACTACATCAAAAACTAATGATGTAATGTATGGTGACTAACATAATGAAATAAAATTGAAAAAAAAAAAGAAGAATGAAGAAGAAGTATTCTTGAGGCAATTGCTAACTCCATTTTAAAGATGAGCTTTCATCTGATTAATTATATAAGAAAACAGAAGACAATAGACTCACTTAACTTGAATTTGTTTAAATAGTTGGACTGGCATAAGATTTAATGAGGCCCCTTTTTGAGGAGTATTTAAAATTAAAATTTTTGTTAAAAGAATATTTAAAAAAAAAAAAAAAGAAGAAGAAGAAGAAGAAGAAGAAGAAGAGGCTCAAGGCCATGGACTTGATTTGGCCAGGCCAATGGAGAGAGGCAGGACCCAGGCCCGAGACCTGCCCAAGGTCAGAGGTACAAGTCCTGTGCCAAAAGAGCTCCAAAGGCTAAAGACATCTGACCATCAGCCACCTCAGTTCAGATCAACATTTGGGATCGAACTCCTACGACAAAGCGGTGACCACTGTCTGGTGTTCTGTGCTCTGGTTCTCACAGCAGGAAACTTGCCCACCCACCCTTGCCCTGAGCGTCAGTCACGGTAATTCAGTGACAAAGGTCCCAACATCCCCACCATGCTGGACCTCCTGCTCCCTCACAGGCACCTCCTTTTGCAGAACTAGGGCCCTGTCACAGCCCCTGTGCCACAGCAGTAAGGTGGGAACCCTGGGTGGGCTCCAGGAATGCCAGGAGGGGTGGACAAGATCCTCGGGCTCCATCTCTGAATTCCAGTGGCTCCCCTGGTGAGGTTCCCACTCTGTAAGTAAGTGACTCTATAACTCGACAGGTCCCCCACACTGATCCTGAATTGGCTCTGTTCTGCAGCTCCGGGGTCAGCCCCTGCCTATACACACACATCCATCTGCTTTCTCTTAGCTGGCTCATTTGGCTCACACCCCAACTGTCACAGCCTTCAGAAACTGCAGAGCTGGACGATACGGCGGCTGACACTTTGACACATTACTAAAAGCCCAGCTAACAGGACTAAAGCACTTTCTCGAAGAAAATCATTTTATCTATATTTAAGCCCAATATATCCTTGGATAACTCAACTGATGAAAGTGCAAACCCAGCTCAAGGACAGCAGATGAAGTGACAGCTTCTAAAGATAAAAGAAAGCAGGTCAGCTTGATGCACCACCCCTATCAGAACATCCTGGCAAGAGGCAAGGCAATTCCAGCTCAGAAGCACAGAGAAGGGAAGAGGTAATTCAACTGTGGTATCACCATGTCTCCCAGAAGAAAATAATGATGATGATGATGATGATGATGATGATGACGACGACGACGACGACGGCCACCTTGCAGATATTCACTCATCAAACCTGAGCTGTCTACCTACTAGGTGCCAGGCACTTTCACACTTGCTCCACACTCACCAGAACCCTGCCACGTCTCATCCTGCTTGCTTAGAGGAGAAAACCAGCCACTGCCTCTCCCTAGACATATTTGCAGACCAGCTATTGCTATCTGAACACGGAAGAAGATCACACTGCTTGTGTGACGTCGTGTCAGGACAGCTGCTCTACCAGCCGGGGGCAGCCGGCTCCGACCCAAGCGCTAGGAAGCTGCAGTCCTAGGGACTGGCCACAGGAACTGACCTGCCAAGCCTCAATGGCACTGTGAATTTGCCCAGGCGACTGCCTATCCTTGACCTCAACTGTGAAATGAGGACTTCTGGGCTCCCTTCCTGCACAGGAGGAAGGGTTGTAGTAACTGGAAGAGACAGGATCGAGGGGCCCAGCCAACTTTATCTGCAGTTTTCGCTACGCTGAGAGAACACGGCCGAAAGGGGGAATTTTGTTTTAAGACAAGGAGCCTCGTCAAGAGATCAGGAGGCACCAGCAGGCTCTCACAGCTTCCCTAGAGGACATTCCAAGGGAGGCTTCTCTGTGCCTTCTGCTCTGTGGCCCGAGAGAAGCAAGAAGCCTCCAACCAGGCCCCATTCTACTGCCCAACACCCCACTCCCCTGCTTCTGACCGCCTCGGGATGCTGGCCTACAGGCAGGAGGGGGGAGCCGGTCAGAAAGCTACTAAAAGCTTTGAGCAAATGAAAAAGTGCTCAACATCCCTCCTCATCAGCAAAATGCAAGTTGAAACCACAGTGAGATAGCACGTCACACCTGTCAGAACGGCTAGTACTAAAAAGACAAGAGGGGCACCTGGGTGGCTCAGTCCGTTAAGCACCTGACTCTTAGTTTCGGCTCAGGTCATGATCTCAGGGTCGTGGGATGGAGCCCCATGTTGGGCTCCGTGCTCAGTGGGGAGTCTGCCTGGGATTCTCCTCCTCTGCCCCCGCCCCCACCCTGCTCACGCGCTCGCTCACTCTAATAAATAAACCTTAAAAAAAAAAAAAAAAGACGGGAAATAACAGGTGTTGTCGAGGATGTGGGGAAAAAGGGGACCCTCGTGCACTGCTGGTGGGAAGGTAAATTGGTGCAGCTACTGTGGAAAACAGCATGGAGTTTCCTCAAAAAATTAAAACTAGAACTACCCTATGATCCAGTAATCCACTACTAGGTCTTTACCCAAAGAAAACAAAAACACTAATTCAAAAAGATACACACCCCTATGTTTAATGAGCATTATTTACAGTAGCCAATGTATGGGAAGCAACCCAAGTGCGCATCCCCCCACAGATGAATGGATAAAGAGCATGTGCATATATGCACAATGGAATATCACTCAGGCATAAAAAACAATGAGATCTCACTATCTGTGACAACATGGGTGGACCTAGAGGGTATTATGCTAAGTGAAACAAGTCAGACAAAGGCAAATACCATATGATTTCACTCACATGTGGAATCTGAAAGACAAACGAACAAACAAAAAACAGAGAACAAACTGATGGTTGTCAGAGGGGAGGCAGGTGGGAGGGATGGCTGAAATATATAAGGGCCATTAGGAGGTATAAACTTCCAGTTTTAAGATAAATAAATAAGTCATGGGGATGAAAAGTACAGCACAGGGAATATAGTCAATAATATTGTAAAAATGTTCAGTGACAGATGGTGACTACACTTATGATGAGCACTGGATGAGGTACAGAATTGCTGAATACGCTGTGCACCTGAAGCTAATATAACACTGCATGTTAATTATACTTCAATTTAAAGAAAAAAACTTTCAGGACAAGTTATGGTCCTAAAACAAAACATTAGGCATAAGTGTGAGGCATTTCAAAAGCAGGCTCACTGACCAACTAAAAAGGGAATGAATTTGTGCTTTTCCTTTTTTTTTTTTTTTAAGCCCAAATTGATAGGGAATGAAAATGGGGAGGTGGTTTAGGGGGCAAATAGGGGAATTCAGCTTCAGATACCCTGAATTTCATTTTCTTTTTTTATAAGTGACTTTGTTTATTTATCTAATTATTTTAAGTAAACTAACTCCAAATTGGGGCTTGAACTCATAATCCCAAGATTTTTTTTTTTAAAGATTTATTTATTTATTTGAGAGAGCGAGAATGAGAGAGAGAGAGAGAACATGAGAGGGGGGAGGGTCAGAGGGAGAAGCAGACTCCCTGCTGAGCAGGGAGCCCGATGCGGGAGACTCCAGGATCATGACCTGAGCTGAAGGCAGTCGCTTAACCAACTGAGCCACCCAGGCGCCCCCTCACGATCCCAAGATTTAGAGTCACGCTCCACCAATTGAGCGGCCAGGCGCCCCAGATACACTGAATTTCTGGTGACAGCAGATAATGTAAATTGTAAAACTGTCCAGCTGGATGAACACCAATTAAAGACAGAAAAATTAGACTGCATCAAATCTTTCTTTTTTTTTTTTGTTAACTTGGTGATACTTCTGTTGATATCCCTTCTTTATTCTGCCCCCATAGCAACGAGGCAAAAATATCAAGGAAGACGGCAGAATAATACAAGCACCTGGAAAAAAATGTATTTCAACAAATTCTCCAAAATCTTCTAATCAAATTTGATTTTCAGGAATAGTAACACCAAACCAGACTAGATATAATACCCAGTGCTGGGAAGAGTGTAATACGCCGGCAATCTCATGCACGCTAGATAAACAGACTCTTCAGGGAGCAACTTGGTCACATCCATCACATGCCATGAATAAACAGTTACTATCTCGGCCTACAGTGTTCCTTCCAGGAATCAATCCTAAGGAAATACCCAAAAGAAAGCAATAGGTATGTGATGAATGAATGGGAGTATTTGTTGTATAAAGATGCTCATTACCTAGAACAGGAAAAAACTGGAAGCCACTGACAAATGCAACCATGAGGGGAGAGATTAAGAACATTATAGGCCCTCGGTGGAACAGTTACACGGGCATTAAAATACTAGTTACGAAGACAACTTGGTAACAGGGAAATCTTTTTTTTTCCCCCATTTGCCGTAATTTTAAATGAAAAAAAAAAAAAGCAGGGTGTGTGATTATACCAACCAACGTCATGATTGTAAGAGTAACATCTGTGTTAAAGCGGCAGGATTTGGGTACATCCTTTCCCCTCCACTTTGAAATATATCGTACTGATTTTTTTTTTGGAAGATTTTATTTGAGAGAGAGTGAGCGGGAGGGAGAGGGAGAGAGAATCTGAAGCAGACTCTGCACTGAGTGCAGAGCCTGATGCGGGGCTCGATCCCAGGACCCTGAGATCATGACCTGAGCTGAAACCAAGAGTCAGACGCTTAACGGACCGAGCCACGCGGGCGCCCCTGTATCATACGGCTCTTGATGAGAAGGCGGCAACTGGGAATGTTAACCTCAGCCTCTGGGGTGGTACCTTGGCTCCATCCACGCTGATGATGCGATAGCTATTCCTGGTGACATCGTAGAAGTAGGAAACGGTGACTGCCTGCTTGCTAGCAGGTACCCAGTTCTTCTTGGTGCTGGGGTCAATCTGGAAGACATGCGCCCGCGTAGTGAAGATGGGCTGTTCTCTGCAGGAGGAGAGAAGGGTGCATGAGCCGACAGAACAGGACTTCGTGTATCATGTATGACTTCTCACCCCACCCCCTGCTGTCCCCAAAGATCTTAATAGCTTATTGAGAGAGATACATATGCATGAGGACAATTAAAATGAGAAAAGGGGAAGAAGAGACTCCAGCACAGGAGTTACGGACACCCAATCCACCCCGGCTGTGGGCAACTGGCTTAATGAGCGATTTGCTCTTAATGCTGCCCTTCGTCCAGTGTCCTCGTGTCCTGTCAAGCATCTTGGTCCCGTTCTGACATCCTGCTTGGCATTCTCGGGATTTTGCGATACATTTATTTTGGGGGATTCTGCCACAATTTTAGGATTTTGCAATCCACTTGCAACTTCGTAATTATATTAAACAGACTCTTCAGGGAGCAACTTGGTCACATCCATCACATGCCATGAATAAACAGTTACTATCTCGGCCTACAGTGTTCCTTCCAGGAATCAATCCTAAGGAAATACCCAAAAGAAAGCAATAGGTATGTGATGAATGAATGGGAGTATTTGTTGTATAAAGATGCTCATTACCTAGAACAGGAAAAAACTGGAAGCCACTGACAAATGCAACCATGAGGGGAGAGATTAAGAACATTATAGGCCCTCGGTGGAACAGTTACA